AATAATAAAAATAAATAAACAATAATATTAAAATTTGAAAAAAATTTATTTAAATTACTAATAATTTATTTTTAAAATTATAGTATATTTAATCAAAATAAGTGAGTTAGTAAAAATTTAACTTTAATATCATATTTTATCTACTATATATATATGGTTTATAAATATTTAATAAAATATATAATAGACCTGTAGGTTTATATCATAGTAGTAGTGCTTTCAGGTTACAATCACAAGATCCAGAGTTCAATATCACATGAGAGCCAAGTAAGAAAATAATCAGGTTATACAAAAATATGACTTTTAATCTCCTTGTTAACTATTGGACTAAAAAAAGATTTATTGTAAGGATTGTATAAAAAAAGGTTTCAGATTGGATTATACAATTTATGTCTAACCCAATCCTTCCTAAACTGGATAGAAAATAAATTTCAGGATCCTGTTGTTTAAAATAGCAATAATTATCTAAACAAATTTAACTTCAACTATAAAATAGATTCTAAAATCTAATCCTTTGAATATAGAATATTTCAGTCTGATACTATGCTTAATTGAAAATCTATTAATTAGGATTGATTTGATATTATAGATAATGAGAAAAAAGTTAATATATTTCGTTCTGAAGTCTAAGCAAATAATATAATCTTAATGTATTAGAAAGATCATAAAAACCTATAAGATACTTATATAACCAAATTAGTCTAGTAAATTTAGGAAACTCAATATTAGCTAATTGAAACCTGTTATTTATAACTTGTGTTAATTATTTGACATTTAGCTGAGTTTATCCACTTTCTAAATATAAGTTTATTTAACTAGCTCAGTTATGATAGATTATTATTTTTTTTTAAACCTTTTGTTAGGCTAGGTATATGTGCTTTATTAAATATGTGTATACTTTACATTAAAGATGTATTGCTAAAGCTAAGTCTCTATCTAACTTACTCGTCTCTATTTTAAGAATTATTAAAACTCTAAGTACAACTTCAGAAATGATTTATCACTCCATTAGTAGTTCAGGTAAAGACCCTTCCAACTGTTAACTTCATTGCTTACAGGTTACTACTGTAGATTATTCTATGAGATTTTGACAGAGCTTAAAATCCAACCATTTCATTTTATACTCTACTCTTCTTGTTAAAATTTTTCGGAGACTTTCATCTTCAAGGTTTCTTTTTTTAGGTAGTGGATTTCTTTTTTTTGGAGATGTAGTTTTCTGACCTGATAGACAAAGTCTTTTTGTTTTGTCTTCTTTACTAATTCTTTGTGTTCATTCCCATTCCATTACCTTTTCACATCTCTTGTTCTAGACTTCTTTTCAGATTTGATTGCAGACTTTTTTTTTTGCATTTTTAATATCCATTTTCTTGCTATTCTTTCTATACATTTACCATGACATTTTAGATCTACTATTTCTAAGATAAGGTCAGTTCTTATAAGGCCAATACAGAAACTTAGTATATTCTGACTTGTTTCAGAAGTCTATTTCACTACTTTGATAATTCATTTGTCAAACTCTCCCATTTCTTTATGGTCATCAATGCTTAGCCTAGAATTTTTTTCTTTAGCTTCTCTCTTTCTTTCCCACAATAGTTTTGTGAAGTTTCTAATGATTCCATCTACTCCTTTGTTCCATGCCTTTGTAGCTAATCTTTATATGTTAAATATTCTAGTAAGTATTCTATAGTTTCATCTTGTTGGTTACATGCAATACATTTCACTTGCTTATATAGATCCAGTCTTCCTACAGCCAACTTACTTAAGATGGATAGTTCATTATTGGCCAGTTTAATAAGAAAGCTTCTTTGTTGGATTGTTTAAAAGATATATCCCATATGTGTCCATCCTTAACCTTTTCCTATACTAGGTCCCATGTGTGAGCTTGATGTTCTGAAATCTGATGACTCAATTTTTTCTCTATTCTATTTTGTTGTGTCCACTGATAGGCTGTTGTTTTATTATTAATATTCTTGAGAAACTGCCTAATTGAATTATTTAGAGTTGTTCCTTGTCACTTGATTTCAGTTATAATTTTGTGTGAAGTGAGATTTTTCCATTCAATTGATGAAAATTTTAGAGCTTCCTTAGCTAAGGCATCTGTTTCTTCATTATATGGGTCATTTGAGTATGCCTGTACTTTTGTAAGCTTTAGATCTATATCTTTCTTTTTACTAGCTCTACCATATGTATCTATAGGGACCAATTTTTTTCTTTGAGCTATCTCTTGTGTATCCTTTTTGGATCTTTTTTTTTAAGGATTTTTACTTGAAAATACATTTTTGACTATCTGTAAAGATCTTCACCTTGCTTTCGATTAGGACTACCAGAAGTATTGTTATAAATGCTATCAATTCTGCTCTTGTAAATGAGAACCAATTGTTTACTCCTGTTTGGAACTTGCTTTTCTTTCTTTTTTTTTTCTATTTGAATCCAAGCTGCTTCCATTTTCATATCTTCTTTTTCATGATTAGTAAGCAATCTGTCAGAATAAAAGATTGGTTTTTCTTTAGATCCAAGGTTACATTGGAGTATATCTATTAGGTGGTCTTGATATGCTCCTTCTCTAATATGTTCTTTGATAGTTATGATAGGTTATCATTAATTTGCATAAATATAGAAATATATAATATATACTGTATATGAGATAATTGATATAACTAAACATTAATTATATATTACATAAAAAGCTTTATATTTAATACCAGTTATAGTTTAAAAGAAAATAAAAATAAAATAAAATAAAATATATATAACTAATCTGATAAAAGTAAAAATTAAAACTCTTTTTGTTGATTCCTTGATAATACACAAAAAAAATATTCATAACAAAGTTTTATACTTTTTTATTAATAAAATCTTATTATTTTCCTTAAAACAACTTAAAAGATAACTTAAAAAGTCACTTCTAACAACCTTTCTTGTTTATATTTCTTTTCAAACAAAAACTTGACTTTTAATAATCAAAAAAAGTAAGAAATACCTTTTCTACCTATAGTAAGAAAGTTCTAGAAGGAAGAAAAATCAATAATAAAATACTAAAATCTTATCTCCTAAAGCAAGAGTGCAATTAAAGGTTTTGTACAGTGGATGAATGGGTAAACAAAAGCTTAAACAATAAAACTTTCTTCCTACTGTTTTTACTCTCTTATAGTCATTTATTTTTCAGAGTTTTTAAGAAATTTTGCTTACTCCAGCTTGACCTTGAATTTTGGAGTAATATAAAATTGACATAGCTTTTATTAAAAGTAATTGGCTGACATGAAACACATTGATAGCAAAATATAAACAAGCTTTTACTAATTAAATCATATGTTCTGATAATATTATAGTGAAAGAAAGAAAAATCATTGGTACAAATTCTTTCACTCCTTCAAATAAAGTATAACTGAAACAAAGAAATTATATGATTATTAAGATAGATACTAAATTTCTTAGGAGATAAAAAATTGATTATTTGTTTAAACCAAGACCTTCAACTTCTTATTATTCCAGTTAAACAAAGTATATAAAGGATATTATTTTCTTATCCTGGTTAAACTGTAAGATCAAAAAGCAGAAAAATATAAAATACTGATCTTCTCTAGAATTGAAAATGTATTTCTCCAGACATTATATAATAATATTACAATCAAAATAAATATTAATAAAAATTTTTTAACTAGATATGACTGCTGAAAGATATCAGGAGTTACACAACAAAATTGAAAAGTTACATAAGAATCTAGGATCTACTATTGGTTGTTTTGTTTTATATAGATAGATACAAAATCAAGACTGAAAAAAAAAAAGTGTTGAGTAAAATATTGGATCTGAATAGATGCTAAGTATCTTGAACAGTTATAAGAAAATAATCAAGATCACAAATAAATAAGTTTCTTAGATAATTAGAAAGAAAAAGAATATTTTAGGAAAGTTGACTCTTAATAAGAATAAGTTTCTAGTAAAAGTTCTTTGAAGAATTTGAAACATTTTTATTTTTATTTTTTGTTTTTATGTAAAATATATTTTTAAATATGCCCCTTCTTTTTATTTTCCTTTTTTATTTTATAATTTTTTAAAATCAATTCCTTAAAGGATAATAAGTAGCAATAACCTATTGAAAATGATATGCAAATCAGAAGGGTATTTATCTAAAATCTATTATGGAATTAAATATTGTTTTCAAGATTGCACTTAAAGGCTGAAGCTATTTTGAAAATTGAAAGCCATTAATAAATAAGTTAATATGAGTTTTAGTTTAGCCATAATGCAATTGTCTTATATATCTCTATCGATTTTCATATTGATTAATAATCACATAGTGCTAACTTGACCATGGATTTACAAAAATAATAATAATAATAATAATTTTTATATAACTTAATATAAAATATTTTTACTATTGATTTTTTTTATATTTTTTATATAAATAAAATTTAAAAATTAAAAATTTTTTTCAAATCATTACTATATTATTAATTTTCTTGTAAGATATAATAGATAAAATATAAATAAATTAAAAAAAAGAGCCAATAAAATTTTCTTATAATCAGATTCTATTTAATCAAAAAAAACCCTTACTACAGTGCAGCGAAATCTCGATCCTGCAGATAATTATATTGTTGATGTGTAAAATTCCTATTTGGAAGAAAATGCATTATATAGATATAATTACCATAACAGTCATCGCAACTGGTAAATCGACTAAGCCCAGTTTCCCAAGCCATTATTTCACAAACCCAGTTTAATTAAATGCCCAATATTCGTAAGACATTCTACAAAGGTTACAATAAAACTTTAAAAAAAGGATCGACACCAACCAACCTGACCTGTCATTTGACCCTTGATTATCACGAGGAAATACGAGAAACTTTTACATAAAAAGGAGGTCTACTGTTTGGCATATGTTAAAGGTAAGAGGGGTTTTGGTTTGTACATGTACCTTATTTTTAGAGTATATAAAATTCAATATTTATACAGTGTATATCGATTTAAAGAACCACTCTAAAAACATTCTTCGGATGAAGTCACACGGAAGCTCTCTCGCAAAGGATTTAAAATTACTAATAAACAATTCGGTATATAGCGACCTCAAAATAGTATGTGAAGATAATGAAACCCTTTACGGATGCCGGGCAATATTGGCAGCACGTTCGGAAGTACTAGATAAGTTACTTTTCAATGGGATGAAAGAAAGTAAACAGAATGAAATCAAATTTCCAGAAATAAAATCTTGCGCTATGAAAATTATTCTAGAATTTCTGTATACTGACGAGGTTAACTACACGGCCTTTACTCCCAATAACATAATTGATACATTTCACGCTGCGGATTATTTTCAACTACCAGATTTACAAGATCAATTAGTTGAATATGTAAAGAAAGAACTTAATGGTGGTAATAATAATCAAGTATTGGCTCCGGAGTTACTGTCAAACGCCGTGAGAAAGATGTCTGCATCGGCTGAAAACGACCTCATTAAATTATTGACAGAACACGTGGCATTAATATCATTGGATACGGTAAAATATGGAGAATTGTCATTTCAAGGATTGCAATGTTTGTTGTCACAAACCTTTACTACCAAAGAGCCATTCGCTACTCCAGAATATACAGTATTTAGATATACGGTCATACAAGCTGCAAAACATGTCTCTGATGAAGCTAGCTATTTATTTGAAAAGCGACTTCCCGCGTTGAGCAAAATTGATGAAGCCCACAGATTTGACGATGATCAATCGAAATACGAAGAAATTAGAGAAACCATCACAGAAATATTATCATCGATACTTCCGTATATTGATTTACGTAGGATTGATGTAAATGTTTTGGCCGATATAATTGAACCGTTGGGAATTATACCTGTAAATGTTTTATTAGATACATATAGATTTCAGGCAAAAGAAAAGAGGTCTTTGGCACCAATTCGCGGAACACCCCTTTATAAATGGGATTTACAATGGGATATAAGAGCTAGGGGAATAAACCTCGTCTTACGCGACGAAAATCATATTGTAGAAAGCCCTAAATCTGGACAAAGTGGCCATCACAATATAAGAGCAAATAAAATGATCAGCGGCGAAGGAATCTACGAATGGGATGTTACGATTGAGGAGACGTGCACATACGCTTGGGTTGGAGTGTGTACTGAGCGAGGACTGGACTATTCCTTGTTTGCGGGTCAGCAATCTTGTGCTTGGGTACTCGGGTCAAGTGGAAAATGTTATCACAATAATATTGGAACCAATTATGTGGCAGAATTTGGAAATGGAACCAATATCACCGTTCACTTGAATATGACTGACAAGACAATTGCATTTTCAATAAACGGGATTAGATACCCAAATGTTTCGGCTTGGAAAAATCTTCCTTCAAAACTTTACCCTGTGGCCTCCTTGAACCCACCTGGTAGGATTCGTATCGGGTAATTAGGAGAATTCAATTAAAATCGTTTAATCGGGTCAGAATTAATTGTATTATAACTGTTTTCAACTTCTTGCTTTATGAAATACACAAATTCTAGATTATATAAAACTATACTTTTTTAATGCACATGCCATCGTCTACGCAATATAAACGAATTATTTTGATACTAGATGATGTTTCCTCTTCATAAATATCATCATAAATATGTATATGTAGTCAAAATTCATCATTTTTTATTAATTATCCAAAAATCTAAAATTAAGAAATAAACTAAGCATTAACTACGGCAAGTTGATTATTAAAGAAAAAGAATGCAAAGTTTACGTAGTTAATTCCACGGGGACCTAACTTTGGCTTCGCCCAAACCAAGCCTCGAAATAATTCAAGTTTAGCGTAGTTGGAGTTTCATATTCAACTAGGTTTCTCTCAAATTCCACGTAACTAAGATCACAAAATCAAGTTTCATAATTCAAGTTTCGCCGACTATGCTTCACGTAACCTAAGTTTCTCCAACTCAAATTTCACCCAATCCGAATTTCGCGCAGCTTAAGTTTTATGCGATCAGGGTTTCACAACCTAAATTTGCATGGCTCAAATTTGCAGAACTCAAACCCCAAATCTTGCGCGTAACCTCATATCGGCAGCATGCATGCATGGCCAACCAGATTGTGAGAAAAATTTCAAACAAAAAAATCAGGTTATCGATACAAGATAATCTGCTTTGAAAACCAGTCAGATCGCAGGATGACAAGTTTTTTTTTTTTAGATTCGAAATTTCTAATTCAAACCAAACTTTGATAATTAAATAAGTCGTATAATAAGTTACATTATGTAATTAATTGAATTAAATTTTTTTTTTTTTTGAACCAGCAATTATATTAGAATGGCTTGTCTTTATTGAGAAATTAAAATAAAATTTACAATAATTTACAAATTTTCACAAACTTATACAAAAGTACTTTAAGTTAGATTTTGAGAACAATATATATTTCCCTAATACAATTGGATTAATCACTATCTATCAAGGTCATTATAATAACTCGTCATTGTCGATAGACTTAAAAATCAATAAATTATTAAGTTAAAAGAGAAAAATACAATTTAAGGTTGCACCAAAAAAGTTTAAAAATAAAGTCATTCTTTTTTAAAAGGGTTACCTGATTAAAATATTCTTTTTACTTTATTTGAATCTCAAAAAAAATTTTTTTTTTATTATCTGTAATATTAGATAAATCAATTTAACTGATTTTTTATGCTTCATAGTATTTAACCAATAGATCTAATATTTCAATAAATCTAAGTTTTTCAAATATTAGAGTTCACTTGAAAAATATTTAGATTTATTAATAATTTTTTGTAAATATTATATGTATTGTTTAAAAATTGATATAGTTATCAACTAAATTTGGTTAAAACCCTCTTCAATATATCATTTATTCTCTTAAATAAAATGTATCAAAATATATACAATGGATCATAATTATATATATATTTATATAAATATAACAAAAGATGAAAATTTAAAATAATATATAACTAAACTCTTTCTGCTAATCCTCGACCACATACAAAAAAGATGTTTTCAAGAAGTTTTATACTTCCTTGCTAATAAAGTCATTATACTTTCATTAAAACAACTTAAAGCTTGTCTTCATATATCTCTTCTACCCTCCCTTACTTGTTTATAAACTCCTTTGAATAAAAACTTGAGCCTCTAGTGATCTAAAAAGACTCAAATACACATTTTCTCTACTAAGGGCAAAAAGATTATAGGAAGTAAAAGGACTGACAAGTGGAAAGTCACCTCATAGAGCTAGAAGCGACAAGAAATAGAGGCTCTGTTGACAGGGAAAGGCTTATTTTCCACCTTCTCATATACTGTCTTATACCCTCTTAAAGTGCTTACTGGTTTTCACAGTTTTCTTGAAGGATTTTGCCTACCTCAATTTGATCCTGAATTTTTGATAGCACAACGTCACCTGGCATCTGATTGGTTAATATTAAACACATTAGTAGCTGAATATAAACAAGCTACTATTGATCACATCATATATTCTGATGACATTATTGGTGATAGAAAGAGAAATCAAGGATATAAACTCCTCCACTCCTCCAAATGAAGTTTAACTGAAGCAAAGAAATTATGAGGCCATTAGGATGAGCACTAAATTTCCAAAATGATGAAAAGGTGATTATTTGTTCAAGTCGAGGCCTTCAACTTCTTATTATTCCAGTCAGGCAAAATACGTGAAAGAGATTATTTTCTTATCTTGGTTAGACTGTAAGACCAAAAAGCAGAGGAATATAAAACACTACCCTTCTTTAGGATTGAGAATGCATTTTTCCAGACATTGTGTAATAATATCGTAATTGATGAGGATCCCCAACTTTGCAAACCCTCCTATCATTATAAGGCAAAAAGATTGTTAAGGAATCTGGCTTTTTGGATAATGGAAGATATATACTAGTAAAATTTCTTTAAGTAGGTATAACTGCTGGAAGATATCAGCAGTTACACAACAAGATTGAAAAACCACATAAGAACCTGGGATCCACCATTAGCCATTCTGTGTTATACGAGTGGATAAAAAATCAAGACCAAAAGAAAGGAAGTATTGAGCAAGACATTGAATCCAAGTAGGTGATAAGTACCTTAGACGATCACAAGAAAATAATCAAGAGCACAGATGGATAAGTTCCTTAGACAGTCAGGAAAAAAAAGGATATCCTAGAAGGTTTGATTCCTAATGAGAAGAGGTTTCTAGTCAAGGTCCTTTGGAGAATATGAAGCAATTTTAAATTTCTTTTTTTCTTTTTTCATTTTCATGTAATGCATTTGCATAGGTTTTCTTAATGATTAATAAACACACAGTACTGACCTGATCATGGATATTAAAAAAAAAAAAAAAAAAAAAAATGAAAATTTAAAATAATTTTTTTTTCTTCATATTTTTATTCTATTAATTTAATTATTGAGACTAATCTTTTATAAACCTTATTTAATAAATTTCACCTTAAAATTTAATAATCCATATCTGAAAGATATTTTTATAAAATAATAGTTATATAATGGAAAAAAATTTTTTTCACTGATTGATAGTAAAGTTTAAATATCCTTTGTTACTATTTACTTTTCTTAAAATTTGATCAATATCTGATAGCTTTTGAAATATTTTTATTATTGATTGTATTTCATCTAATGCATTATTCATCAATATTCTTTCTTCAATCCATATTCATTTAATAAATTATTTTTCAATATTTAAAAAAAACAGTATATATGATCAATAATTAAATATCAAATTGAATCAAAATAAAATATGTAAAGAAATTCAAATTATCTGATATGATTTTTATTGACAAAACATTTTTGTGTTAAATTTGTTATAATATCTTTATTTAATAAAATCTCATTTATATATTATCAAATTTTTCAATATAAACTATTCGTTTATATTATCTATATTATCAAAATTATAATGATTATTTTAATAATTGATATTCTTTTTTCTAGGAGAGGTTCAATCTTTTGAAGTTAGCTTTTTTTAGTTTAAAGGTTTCTTTATGATAATTTTTCATTGTATTTTTGATAGTTTGTGGATCAGTGACCATATATTCTATCTCTACTTGATTCTAGTTATCTTGATATTGTTGTATTAGATAATTGAATTGATTTTGTTATTTTCAGATTAAATTAAGTGATTTATCTGACTTCTTTTTGTGATCTATACTCAAGTATTAAAAAAGTTTCCAATTTTTGACTTTGAATTGATATGTGATACAAATATCATATTCTGCTTCAAGTAATAATAATATAAACAAATTGTTTTTGATCCTTTCTATTCCTTTTGCAGAGATTAAAAGTTAAGAATAACTGCTATATAATTTCATATTTTTAAATATAAGTTATTGATTTCTTATACTATCCAATAGTAACTGTTAATTTATCTATTTCTATCAATGATTATTTATTAAAGTTTTCCAAAAGTGCACAATAAGTTTGATTCTTATTCAAAATTTTTTTATATTTTAATTTATCAATTAAATTATAAATTTCTTTTTCCTTTCTTTTATCCAAAGGTTTTATTTCAATAGGTCTTTTATTATTATTAAATTTTAATTTTTTCCAATATATAACCTTGTATTGGATATTTTTGTTCAAATAATTCATGTCTATAATTTGAAGGTCATAATTGATAATAGTCTTGATTTTTATAATCCAGTTATTTCATATAATAATTATATATTGAGTTGATTTAAATACATTCATAATAATAAGTATGGTGATTCCTTAATATAATTGGTAGATTATTTACCTTATCCAATAATTACTTTTTTCTTTCATTTATATTCGCAAGATTAATAGAAGATAATTTATAAATAGTATGTCTCAAAGAGTTCAAAAATAGCTTGGAATTAATATTACTTATTAATTCAATATCAATAATTAAATAGATAGGATAATTATCAATTTTTGTATTATAATGCAATGTTTTCATAACTTTAGAATTGGTTTGTTCAGTTTATTTAGGTAGAAAAGATGTTGATATAGAGAGATTTGAAAATACAAAAAATTTTCGGCACTCCTTAGATCCCCTTAATCTTTTAAATTGTGGTTTGCTCACTTTATAACATCAGCAAAGTTTTATATAAAAAGATTAAACCATTGATTACAGTTGTTGGATTGATTACTGAAAGATAATTGGTTACTGCTAAATCCATTTCCATTTGTTAAATTGTTAGTATTCCTTTGAGAATATTGACTGGTTAAGTGTTCAGATTAGTTGTAAATAAAATATTTCCTTTTATTTCTGTTATTGTTGAATAGATATCTATTGTTATTACTATTATTATTGTTATAGAATCTCTTTAAATTATTATTATTATTACTATTATTACTATTGTTATTTTTGCAACAAGATTTACAGTCATGTTACAAATGTTCAACTTTTTCACAATTGTTGCAGATATAAATTTCCCTTTGATTTTCTTTTCTATTATT